TCTCTCTCTCTCTCTCTCTCTCTCTCTCTCTCTCTCTCTCTCTCTCTTCTTCTTCTTCTTCTTCTTCTTCTTCTTCTTTCTTCTTTCCTTCTTTTGTTTTTATGTTTTTTTAACAAAACTATCTAGTACCTTACCTTGTATACCTTACCTTACCTTACCTTACCTACCTTACCTTACCTTGTATACCTTACCTAACCTTACCTTACCTAATCTTAAGACCCTGCCTGCTTGAATTTGATTTGCCTTGTCTATATACATGTACCTAGGTGTACATAGGTATAATTGCTTGCTTGCTTACAAACATACAAACATACATATAGATATGATTGCTTGCTTAGGTACTAACTGACTGACTGACTGACTAACTGACTGACAGGTATACTTCTTCACTTTCAACTCTCGCTTCACTTTCAACTTGCAGTAAGCTTATAGTTACACTTTTTCACTTTCACTTATACTGATTGGATTCTTTCTCTCTATGCTACCGTTTCGCACTGTTGGTTGTATATTTGATTGTTGTAGTTTTTTGTTTTCTCTCAAGTTTCGATTTCATTTCCATTTCCATTCCATTCCGTTCCATTTCATTTCATTCCCACCCCCACCTCCGAGGGTAGGTGAACTGACTGGCTACCTTTTCGGATCGGAATCAAACCCCTTTCCACCACCACCGATACCAGCAGTAGCGACCACGACCTTTTCTTTGCGAGGCAGTGTCCCATTTCGTAACGTTCCATTTCCATGTCCATTCCCCATTCCATTCCCATTCCCCTTGCCCTCCATCCCACCCATACTGTGGCGATCAAAACTGGTCCGCTTCTGATTCGATCCACTCAACGTGTCTTCGTCACTATCCTCCGCCAAATCCCCCAACGCATTGGCTTCAATGTCATATGCATGCAATAGATGCTGTGGTGGTGTTTGTTGTTGTTGTTGTTGCTCACCTCCTCTTGTCATGTGATTGGTCGTCGTTGCAGAATGGACCGCTGCTGCTCCGTAATCGACGCTGGAGCGAGATCGCGGAGATCGGAGACTCCAACTATTACTCCTCCGATGATGAAGTTCGCCGCTTCTGCGACTTTGCATGCTCAAGCGGGTTTGCAGGCCTGCGAGCCCATCGGTAGGGATGCCGTCAATGTCGTGGTATTGGCCGCGGCCGTCACGGGCGGATTTGATGCCTGCATTCATTCCGTCGGGGTCTTCGCGGGAGAGGTTGAGCAGGTAGACGCCGGTGAAGATGGTGAGGAAGCCGCAGAGGAGGGAGATGGTATTGACGGCGTCGGCGGTATTGAAGCCTCGAAACATGATAAAGGAGGCTGTGAGAGTGCAGGTTGTAAAGGTCACATAGTACAGTGGGTTAACACTGGTACATCTCATGGTCAGCATCTGGAGCTAGCCGATTGGGCAAAGCGCTGAGCAGGGAAAAGGAACGTACATATTGGTGCTGTAGGTCGCCAGCGCCTTGTTGAAGTAATTCATCTGCGTGAGAATGCAGACTACGACCACAATCGCAAAGACGTATGTGGAAGGGTGGGTGAACTGATTGTTGCCGCCGAGGGTGAGCTTGAGCGCAATGCCAAAGCCTTTAATCGCCATGATCGATATGGATCCTACTGTCGAGCAGATGCTGATGTACACCATGGGGTTCTTCTTCCCGTATACGGGCGCAATCTTGTATATCATGACCAGCGCGAATATCAACACGATCGTGCAGTACGTCAGGAAACCTGCGAAAGAACATGGGTGGTCAGCACATCGATCTCTTGGACTCGACCATATATCGCTCTTTCTCTCTCACACTCTCTCCCACTCCGCGAAGCTCAACGTACCCAATTGCATGGCATAATGTAGCAGCTCGTCAATATTGTTCAACTCTTGGTCGGGCGGCGCATGCAACACAATCACCACACTCCCAATCAGACAAATCGCACAACCGACCCTCCCCAGCACTCCTAATCTTTCATCCAGGAAATAACTCCCCAACACCGATCCAATCAACACGCTCAGCGCGCCCAAAGGAGTCACCAGGATCGCGGGCGCAAAGGCATATGCGGAAAAGTTGCAAATCTCTCCAATGACCATGGTAATAATACCTCCCCACCAGATGGGGTTTTTCAAATATGCGAATCCGTCGCCTTCGAACCCATTTTGTTGCGCAGCAGCATTCAGTCCTTTTTTCGTAATGACGAACGATGCGCCGATGCCCAGCGTAGAGGTCACGGCCAGGGACAAGCCGATGTACTTGTCCTCTATCATGACGGGCGTGTGATTGGTCGTGTTGATGAAATCGAATAGCAATATGAGATGTCCAGAGCGGGCACCGTGCCCGTGCGCTGGTGGTCCGTCAGGCCTAGAGGGCAAATGATGTGTAGGAGAGTAGAATGGAAGGCAGAGGAGCGATTATTGCGGCGTCATGGTCCGGTGATTAGTTGGTCGTGTAAATCGTAGATGGTCGTGCGTGCGTGCGGGCAGCAGGCGGGCGGCAGGCGGGCAGGCGGGCGATGCGTGCGATGCGTATGGTCGTGGTCGTAGTCGTGATTGCGGTCGTGGTCGTGGTCGGCGCAGGGAGAGGCGAGGTGGCCGTTAGCGATGCGAGGTTGGCGACGGGGAGCAGAGGGTCGCAGTTCCAGCGGGTTGGTGTCGGGTCCTGCCGCCTGTGAAGAAGCTTAGAAGAGCTGTTCCTGTTCCTGAGTACAAAGTCGCAAGCCCCATCAAGTGTAGCTCCGGGAGCGGTATGTCGCGATTCTGCAGTCGTGGGTGTTGTCGCGGGCGGGCGGACGAGAGAGAGAGGGAGTGGGAGAGGGATGGTGGTGGTGGTGGTAGCGGCGGCGGTGGTGGTGGTGGGTACAGGTAGTAGTGGTAGTAGTTAGTAGTAGTTACAGGCACCTAGTAGTAGTGAGGTGTCTGTCTGTCGGCGATTTCGAGGCCTCGTCACCGGACACTCCACTGCGAGACAACTGGGGTCCCTGGACTGCAGCGAGGGCCATGTTGCCCCGGTGCCTTACGAATTTACGCGTGGGAGCGCTGCTATTTCTGGCTTTAGCTTCAAACTCATCCGCTTGTGCAAGTCGATCGCAAGGCGTCGCAAGCCGCCGACCTGTCACATCACGCCGAATTTGGCTTTGCACATGTATAATTATACGTGATAAGAGAGTGCGTATGCGTCTTATACAGCAGGGAGGTATCAGTCGTGTATTACAATGTTTCTGATTTCACTAGGACTACCTAGGTGTAATGCCATTATTACCATGAATCATTCCTCATCATCAATTCATTCGCTTGAACGCTTTTCGCCTCATCTCTATATGCTTCTTCTTCTTCGATGATGGTGACTTTTTCTATCCCATTAATGCATTTAATCATCGTACAAGTCAATGTCGCCGTCGGCGCCATTCGTCAATTCTTGCACGGCATCTTCCTCGTCATCCCACATCTCTTCATCCTCAGACATGTCGCTTTCTCCATGGTTGGGAATCACCACGATATGACCATCTTCGAGCTCCACTCGAGCAGTCTCGCCATCCCTGATGGATCCCCTCAATATGAGCACCGCCATGCGATTGAGAACTTCCTTCTCAATCAGCCGTGCCAGTGGCCGAGCGCCATACGCAGGTGAGTACCCAGCGGCACCCAGGTAGTCTTTGACCTCGTCGGAGAGATCGATGCGGACGTTGCGACCATTGCCTTGCAAGCGCTTTTGAATTTCTTGCAGCCGCACATCGACAATCTTGCGAATCTCTCTCTTAGTGAGACGGTTGAAAATAACGATGCTGGAAATGCGGTTGAGAAACTCTGGCAGGAAGTAGTTTCGCAGTGCAGTCATGACGAGTTCCTTGGTGGTGGGGTCAATCTTGCCGTCAGCTGCGTTGGGTCGTGCCAGGTACTCAGCGCCCAAGTTCGATGTCATGACGACAATGCAGTTCTTCGCGTCAATAATGCGACCTTGGCCGTCAGTGATGCGACCATCGTCCATGAGTTGGAGCAAGACGGTAAGAACTTCCTTTGCTGCCTTCTCAACCTCGTCGAAGAGCAGGATGCTGAATGGTCTGCGACGGAGAGCTTCGGTGAGCTGACCTCCCGCGTCGTGGCCGACGTATCCTGGAGGAGCACCAATCATGCGTGATAGCGAGTGTCGCTCCTGGTACTCGGACATGTCGAAGCGGATTAGCGACTTGGGATCGTCGAAGAGAAACTCGGCAAGCGCCTTAGTGAGCAGCGTCTTACCAGTTCCAGAAGGACCACAGAACAGGAATGACGGAGGTTGGCCAGGATTGGCGAGCCCAGATCGTTGAAGTCGAATCGCGTTGGCGACAGATGTGACGGCCTCCTTCTGACCAACGACCTGCTCTCCAAGAACTTTTTCCATGTGTAGAAGCTTCTCCTTTTCAGTAGTTCGTAGCCTGGTGACTGGAATTCCGGTCCAGCGCGCAACAATCTCGTTGATTTGGTCAGGTCCAACTGCGTCCGCGACAAGAGCATTCGTGTCGCCGGCAGCACCACGACGTGCAGCTTCTTGCTCCTCTGCGTGCTTTTTCTGGATTTCGAGCTCGCGAATGCGCTTCTCGGTATCTGGAATGGCATAAAACTTGATGTCAGATGCGCTTGCAAGATCTCGTGTGCGCTCCGCTTCTTCCAGTTTGTTCCGAAGCGAGTCAAGCTTGATCTTCTGCTCTTGAATCTCCTTCGATCGGGTCTTCTCGCGGTCGTACATTTCACGAAGTGGCTTGAGCTCTTCTTCAATATTGGCTTTCTCAGCTCGAGCCTCTCCCAAGCGCGATTGGGATGCCTCGTCCTTTTCGCGATCGAGAGCATGAATCTCGATTTCGAGTTGTCGCAACCTACGCTCCATGTTGTCAAGGACTTCTGGCTGTGACTCTCGCTCCACACGAACGGCAGCTGCAGCCTCGTCGACCAGATCGACAGCCGAGTCCGGCAGTCTGCGCTGGGTGAGATAGCGTGCGGCGAGTGTGGCGGCAGCAATGATGGCGCCGTCCTGGATCGTGACACCATGATGCACCTCGTACTTCTCCTTGAGGCCACGAAGGATGGACACAGTCTCCGAGACGGAAGGCTCTTTGACCATAACCTGCTGGAAACGTCGCTCGAATGCTTGGTCTTTTTCGATATATTTGCGATATTCAGCAAGCGTGGTTGCACCTATGCAGTGCAATTGACCACGGGCAAGCATGGGCTTCAGCAAGTTGGCTGCGTCCATGCCCCCCTCGCCTGAGCTTCCGGCACCCATTAACAAATGGATCTCATCCACGAAGAGCACAATCATCTCTTTGCTGTCTTCAATTTCTTTCAGGACACCCTTCATGCGCTCTTCAAACTCGCCTCGGTACTTAGACCCAGCGACGAGTGCGCCGACATCAAGGGACAGTAGCTTGCAAGCCGCAAGTGATTGCGGCACATCTGCGTCCACAATCCGGCGTGCCAGACCCTCAACCACAGTTGTCTTGCCGACACCAGGCTCACCGATGAGGACAGGGTTGTTCTTCGTCCGCCTTGACAAAATTCTGACCACTCGCCTGATTTCCTCTTCACGGCCAATGACAGGATCGATCTTTCCATCCCGTGCCATTGCCGTCATGTCGATGGTGAATTTCTTGAGGTTCTCATTCTCTTGCTCGGTATCCGCCGTCTTACTATCGACTCTTTTCGTACCTCTGATTTGTTGAATAGCTTGATCAATCAGCTTCGAGTTTGGTATGTTGGCTTCGGCTAGACATTTCTGGATGTTGGTGTCTTGTACGAGGCATTGTATCAGATGGTCGACTGCAATATATGAGTCTTTTTGCGTCTTCGATAGATCGTTTGCGTTTCGGAGGACTTTCGAGAATGATGGTGCCACACTGATGTTCTCTGGGGGAGGGTCCTGTGATGGCACGCGTACGAGGGACTTTTTCAAAGCACGCTCCGCTAGTTGAGGGTCCCCGTGTGCTCGCTCAATGACCTGCTTGAAGAGCGGCGCTGAGCTTGCAGCATGTGAGGCATGTGAGTTATTGGTCTGTTGGTCCTTTGACTGGTCTGGCTGGGGGTCGATCAGTGCGACTGCCAGATGCACCGGCATAAGCTGTGAATGTTGATATTGCGTGGCTAAGTCTTGTGCTTCTGCCAATGCTTGGGTCGCACGGTCCGTGAAGGACATGTTGCCCGCCATGTTTGCGGTATGGTTGTGAACAGTACTGAGTAGTAGTAGTAGAAGTAGTAGGAAAGTGTGGTTATAACAGTGAAGCAGTACGATATCAGGTCTGGCTCTGTGCGAGCACTCACTGTGACGTTCTGTTGTCGCGATTGAATGGCTGTCTGGTGTGCAAAATGGATGATTCAAGGTGAGACGACGATGAGCTTGAAGACCACCTTTATGTGTCTGGTCGTAGAAGCTTCGAAACACGCTGTGACTCTCGTGGTTGCTCGGCCTGTGGAGATGCTCCTAGACAGTGCTAGTGAATTCGCGCCCAACAAGGAAGTCACTAGAAGCTTCGAACGTCACTCCCCACTGACGCTGACTAGCAGTCACGTGCACACTGAAGCAAGTCACCAGTACGTACCACAAGCCAGTAGCTCTACGGCATCACCCCAGCGGTGGAACACCGGAACCACTTCTCACGCCACGACGAGAGAGGTGGTCGACCGCGATGCTTGATTCGTGGTGACGATATATCATTGAGGAGGGTTGTGAGGTCAAGCCAATAAGGTTCATCATAGGCCAGCTCGTGTTGCTTCAGGTACTCCCAGGTTTTCATTTTCATGTTTCATACCTCTCAACGTGTGCGTCTACCCTTACTGCAGCCGACTCAGGCTTGCCATCTACAAAATGTACACACTGTCCCACTCACTCTGCTACTGTATCGCTGCTGGTCATCCAGTGACCCGCTTCCTCGTGCTCTATCATCCCATCACTCCGCCATTCTCGCCATCGGAGGCGAACTTGTAACGAGACCAGCGTTCTTTTTCTGCTCACATCCGGAGACCAGTTCATTGGTTGCGTAAAGCATATCAGGTCGTATGTCCTGGTGAGGTTTCTCAATAAAGCCATCATCGAGCTTCTACCTTGTTGGCCCCAGGCTTGCATTACCGGCTGGCAGTGGCATCCAACGGAGCTGCATGTAAAGCAGGTTTGGCGTGCTGCCCCAGTGTCCCTTCCTTTTTCTTCCTGAGCGCTTCCATGACCCATTCGCCCACCTCTCGATCCACAAACCCTCCTTCATCTGCTACCGGCTGACTCAATGCCTCTGAGTTCGGCTCAGGAATGTCCTCACCTGCCGCAGCGGCGGCCTCGGCGGCAGCCTCAGCATCTTCATCCTCTTCCGTGATGGTCGTTGGCTTCACCAACGGAGCAAGCCATGCATGCTGCAGGAGCATCGGGTAAGTGGGCCTGAGGTTGGGAATCTTGTGTAAACAGCCTGCTACGAAGTCTCGTGCAGCTTCGGAAAATGTATCGGCAGGAAGATCAGGTGGTTCGCCGTCAACAATAGCCTACACAATGAATGTCAGTCATGTTCCATCATATTTGGGGGCTCAGCACTTACGGCAAGTTGTGAGAAAATGTTGTCATAGGTTTCGGGGGGATAAGGATATCTTCCCAGTGCACATTCGATAATGGTCAGGCCAAGGGACCAGATGTCGGATTGCACACTGTAAGTTCCCACAGCGCCGCCAGGAGCACCACCTCCACCACTCGAAATCCGCTCCGGGGCCATGTATGACTGACACCCAATGTTCGTCTTGGCTATGCTTGCCACCAAGTTCCCTGACACACCAAAATCACACACCTTGATTTGTCCCCGTGTGTTCATGAGAATATTGGTGGGTTTCACATCTCGATGGATAATATTGTGTTCTTCTTTCAATGACTTGAGTCCCAGTGTCGTGCAATAGGTGATCTTCCTCAAGACGCCCTCGGGCACACCATCTCCATATATCTTGTCACAACTTCCACCATCCATAAACTCCATGCAGATGTATACAGCGCCTTCCTGGAAGAAGGCGCCATAGAAGTCGACAATGTATGGAGACACGCATCGATGAAGAATGTCAAGCTCCATGATAATAGACTGGAACTTGGCATCATCCAATTCCAGTCGCATCTCCTTCATGGCCATCACGATGCCTGTGGTACCGCCTCGTCCGGGTGCCTGCTGCGAAGTGGCATGTGCAGGCATGGTGGGAGACGAGGGCGATTGCTCTCCGTCGGCGTTCGGTCCGCGTGCCTTGTTTCCTGCCAGGCCCTGGCCTGTCTTCCTGAATTTGGGCCGCGAATGTCTCACTTTGTATACTGTGCCGTAGTTGCCCTTTCCCAGCTCGTCTAGAGTGTCCACTTCATCCAGACTTATGCTGAAGCTCTTGCCAGAAGTAAAGTCTATGCCGCCACCATGCACAGTCGCCTTGTTCTTGAAGATCAACGCACCCGTCTTGGTGTCGATCATGTCCGCGTACTTGTCCATTGCAGTCTCCTGCTTTTTCGGCTCCTGCTCGGAGGCGTCACCATTGGGATCTCCACCACCCATACTAGTGAGCGTCATTCCCGCTGGCTTTTTCCTGCCAGTTGGTGCAGCTGAGCCGGGAAGAGCCCCGGGCATTTTCATCCCTCGTCTCTCTGCCATGGACATAGGCTTAGTAGTTCCCGGAACTGCAGGCGAGGAATGCATCGGCGTTGGTGTGGGCCTATTCATCCCGGGCGGAAGCTTGAAATTCGAAGGGAATCCTCCTCCAGCGCTACCACCAGGTGCAGGCGGCCCAGCACCCAGCGGATTGCGATTCGGCAGAGGTGAAGCAGGCCCTGATCTTGCTAGCGAGAACGCCTTTAGGCGAGCAGCAATGTCGGGGTTCATGGCTGGGGGGTTTCCCCTGGCAAAAGTGGCGCCTGTCGGCCTCCGTGCTGCATCTAATTGACCCCGCGATGTCGAAGAGGCCGTTATGCCTGCCATGCTGGGAGGAACACTGGTATCGGATACCATTCGTTGTATGGGAGGAGAGACTGGCGGAAGGTCCGGATTCTCGAGCGGCGAGGGAAGCTCGTCGGGTGAAGTGGGCAGCGAGTCGATTGGTGACTTTGGATCTGCGGACATGGTGAATGAAGGTAGGCGGCCTGATGGCCGATCGTGCTTATGCGGCTCGTCTCGGGACGGGGTCCAGTAGTAGGAGGTGTTTCGCTGTATGTGATGAGCCTCAGGTATTGGGGCGGTCTGGTCAGGTCACGGTCAGGTGGGAGGGAGTTCTGGTGCGCAGAGGTTGTGGTCGTGGCAGCACAATAGAAATCCAATAAGGTAATGGCGCGGTAGACAGCAAGTAGTGACGATCGAGGTTAAGCCACATCCAGATTTGGGCTCGCAAACGGCAGTGCCTGCTCCGATGAGTCCGATATGCTCCTAAGGTAATGTGCTAGCAGAATTGGCCGGGTATATGTATGTGCGACAGGCAGTCTGTTGGCCTGCGTGGTATGCTGAAGGACAGTAGGTGGTGGTATGCGTCGGTTTGCCGTGCAGAATCTGGTAAGAAGATGAAGACGCACAGTTGCGTAAGCGATCGAAGGGAGCTTTCCGCGGGTTCACGTGAAGACGTGGTAGGTCTAACGTCGCTCGGCTCCAGGATGGTGTGGCTTGACGGACACCTCAGCCTCCTCAGGCCAAGGAAGGTTATTCAGGTATTATTCACTTCCAAGATCCCGATTCCCAACAGTGCCAACACATCAAACAAAAAAAGGCTTGCATCAATTACAATGACAACGTGCAACGCGGAAGAGTATGAACTACAGGTAATGACAGAGAGAGCATTTTATGATGAATTTCACGTCCACGCGTCCTCGCCAATCTGTGACACTCCCGGCCTGGAGATATGGCGGGACCTGATGGTGATGATGCGGCGAATGATCATGGCGCTGCCAGGATATCTGGAGAGGGCCAGTAGGGACGTGAGCTACATGTAGGAATTGGCAGCGAGAAACAGGCTACAGTACCTAGTTCTCGCTTTGCCTGCAATTCGAAACCTGGGCCTTTCGGTGCGACGGATTCCATACCCTCATTTGCTGTCTGTGTATCTGCCTGGAATAGGATGCTGTCCGAAGACCAACAACAAAAACTCCGATGAGATGCCCGGTGGGAGTGCCCGATACCTTCTAGCTTTTGCTACCGAAACTTGCTCTGAAGTGTGGCTTTGCGACTCTACATTAGCGCCGGACCACATGCGCCAGCCAAGCCAAGACTGCATCTGATAAGGCCGGGAACTGGGAAGACGACTTGCTTTTGCTTCGCTGTACCCAGTAGGAAGTAGGTAGCAGTAATGAGCGGTGACTCTGTGGCTGTTGTGAAGGCTTTTGGAGGAACTGCTGGGAAGATACCTTACACTGCTTATAGCAGGCGGAACTCGAAGCCTGGTCATCCCACGAACAACAGGCTGTCAGGCTCTAGAACAGGTACTAGTAGGTACCTGTACCTGTAGGCTGTAGGTGGTAGGTTGCTAGTAAGGGAATATGGCGCGCGGCGCTGACGCGCACTCGTTCTGAGGTTCCACGCACTCCTGACTAAGCATTCAAAACGCATGCCAAGATAGAACGAGTGCATAGTTTAAATTACGAGTGCAGGTCATGTTTTTCTTCTTCCTCTACATCTACTTCTATCGAACCATCTGCAAACTATCTACCTACTCTTACGATAATAGTTCACTACTATTTACTCTATATTTACCGAATCTATCTTGTACTTGTCTACAATTTACTCCCTCGACAACAGTAAGTATATATCTACTGTTATTATACTGTTACTATACCGTTAGTATATCGTTTCTAAGATAATTAATAGATGGCTCCTCAAATTACCCCGAATATGTCTCGCCTGATTCCAAGTATTGATTTATCAGACGTCCCATCAGGCTCTTCGCCAAGTACCTACGAGAGTCGGTGGACTTGGGAGAAAGCTACCTTACCAGCCGGTTCTCAAATGTTTGACGACTGGTTTGGTAACGTTGAGGACGATGATGAAGAGATTAATCTCGACG